AAAAAAAAAAAAAGAGTCAGTGGCGAGATACACGCGCGTGTCTGATTGTTGTGTCCCTAGCTCTTGTACCGGATAAACCGAAAACATTTGACGACGCGACGCCATAATCTGATCTATGAAGAGACTTAAAGTGATATACTGATAACGGTCACCATTTAAGAAACGCAACATATTATAAAGTATTTCAGAATATCGCGCGGCTACGACACGACAGAGTGAAATTCAGTGTGCAATTCTGTGACAAAAGTATATCTCCGATCTCGACGTCGAGGAGTGATTTTAATTTTTATTGCAAGACAGTGCGTGTTTATTAGTGAACATCGCATCACCAGGTCGGTTTTTTACGATGCAAGCAACAATTTTCTTCAAGCTATTAACACTTCATTGTATCAAGATAGAAATATGACTCATCGAAAAATATCGTGGAATGTATCCAGAGACGAGAAGAGAATTCATCGTAAGAATAATCCTCCGGCAATCGATTCGTGCCGAAGCAATGAGATGTACATACTTTGATAAGATTTTGGTGAGATGTGATGCCCGCCCGCACGCACACACATATATACATACACACAAGCTGAATTCAGACATACAACGCTAACTGATAAAGGATAATAATCGACCGTGACAATAAAATATACTAGCCTTTTTTAATCAGATCAAGAAATAGTGATATGAAATAATTAAAGTTAAATTAAAAAAACTAGTATGCTAATCGACTTGAATAAAAACAAGAATATTAAGAGAAATAAAACAAGTGATATAACGCAGTTTTCGAAGATGTGGTTGCCGATGCTAATCAACAAGACATTCCTGGTGCTTCTGCTGCTATTCTCGGTGTATTTCGTCGGAATGGATCTGCTACTTTACTTCAGGGTGCAGGATTACGATGTGCGTCCGTGCATAAATGACACGCAGGTTTCGCCGTATCCTTCGCCAATCTTGTGCGATGTGAATCCAATTTGCACGGTGACGGTGAAAGCTATGATGTTGGATCATCCTAATCACTACATACTGAGTCCCCTGGCTAGCCTGGTGGATCATCTGCTGGGCATCAGTCGTCTCTGGACGTGGCTGACGCCGAACATCATCAGCGTATCTCACGTAGTGGTGGCTGTAATCGGCGCCAGATACATCACACGAAATTCTCTCTCTCACAGACGAGTAGGTGCCGTCCTGTTTCAAGTCAGAGTCTGGCTGGATAACCTGGACGGTCATGTGGCCAGGACGAGGCTCAATATTGACGGCGAGAGATCGGATTTTGGCTCCATCGGTTACTTTGTGGACGGCGTTTGCGATGGCCTCGGCTGCATCGCTCTCGTGGTCGCGGTATTTCTATTTCTGAAACGTAATTCCAATCGCCGTGCCGGCTACGAACGACTGCCCATACGAACGTCATCGACGTCCAACAGTACCGTCTCCTCCGTCCCGTTCTGGAAGTCGCCCTTGTACAACATGTTGATGGTGGGCCTGCACTTTTCCCTAACGAGCGTCGCTTGGAACCGATATATATCCATATATCAAGATCTTCTGGAAACCGACAGCAGCATCCTTCCTATCAGTCGAAAAGATCTCTATGATAGGCAAACCGTCGTGTTCAGGAGCTCCTCGTTCTGGGCTATCGCACTTGCCTGGAAGACCTTCAATTTCCACGCGATGATGGATTTCATGCTTCTATCAATATTCCTGGATCGCGTCTGGGAATACGTTAGACTCGTGTGGTGGCAGTTACCCTCCGTCCTGTTATTACTTGTTCTTATCAGCGAGTTTCATTATATTAACGCGTATGCTTATGTGGAAGTATCACCGTTGAACGAGAGTTTGCGGTTCTTCTCCTTCTACGCGCTTCCTAGTCCATGACAATTTGCTTCTTGTTGTTGTGAATATTTTGTACATCTGTAATGATAATTATTCACTTAATGAATTCATAACCGCGCGTCTTAAATATTTATTATTTCTTAAATTATAATTATGTGATTATATGTGATTTCTTATATAATTTTTTTTCATACCTGTAATTGTTTTTTTTATTTTTTTTTTAAATTTTTTTTTTTTAATATTTTAAAACTGGTTTGAGAAAAAATTTTTTAATTAAAAAATATATGAGACTGTTTTGTGACGATTTTCGAATTAAATAAATTATTGTTAATTGTATTCTTCCGCGGTAATATTGCAAATATCCACGTCTTCGAAAACAACAGTTTAAAATTAAAAAATTGACACATTAACATATGAAGTGCAAGTTTTTCATATATATAATACATATATGATATATATTATATCGTTATAAGTATGTATTCTTAAATTCTGCGCGCTATTTCCATAACTGAAACTGAAATTTTTATATGTATGATTTTACTTCAATGCGCATAATATAAACACTTTTTAAACGAAAGCCAAAGTTCTCGCAAAGAAACATTTGAAAATTTTTTCTTTTTTTTTTTTTATTGTTACAAGACAATCGCATTGTATCTATATTTAAATAGGTCAGTTATTGATTGCAGTTACGCATTTTTATCTAATCCAAGAGTGTTACCTAACTGCAACACGAATAAAATGGACGTTCGCAAAAACTTGTTACGTGTACGAAAGGAAAAAAACTAAGTTTCGCAATGCTCCGACAATCAATGTCGATAGTTTGCGTTCGAGATATATAAGGTTTCCCGCGTCGAATTTTATTATAACGGCCCGATTCTTGTCTTGTATATTTTTATATAACAAAAATGTACAATAAGATGTTTTTATATAAACAATTTCTGAAATATGTGTTCATTCTGTGTACCTTCTCTGCCTAAAAAAATCCCATATTGTAACAATAGATTTTCCAGAATTACACAAATATAATTTTTTAATGGTGTATATATTCACCTCTATATACATATAGTAATAGCAATTAATTAATTTATATACATACACAATAATATACATATGTATATCATCCATATTTTCATCAAACAATTAATATTTTTTGATATATAATAAAATGTTTTGAAACGAAATAATATCGCACAATATGTATAAATTATATTTATTATTCCTCCAGTACCTTCTTGAAGCAGGATGGTGCGCAGACGGAAAAAAGATTGGCATCACGGAACCCAGAAGAGTCGCAGCCACCTCTCTAGCGAATCGCGTGGCCGACGAACGCAATTGTATTCTAGGGACCACTGTCGGTTATTGCATACGCTTCGATGATTATACCGATGAAACGACCAAGATTAAGGTGCGATATCGTGAGACAAATACAACGCAAATATGATTTTTACTCGGAAGGATAGTTTTAATTTGTTGCGAAAGAACATAGTTCTTTCTCTCATACTTGAATTTCACGTATAATTTATATTATGATAAATCAGAATATCAGTGTTTATTTTACAGTTAACATTTATTTTATTATGAAGATACTGTAAGACGTAAATTACCCTTTATAGTACATGACAGAGGGTATTCTTCTAAGAGAATTAATGAGTGACCCGTTATTGACAAGCTATTCAGTTATTATCTTAGACGAAGTGCATGAGAGAACGCTCTTAACTGATATTATAATGGGATTACTGAAAAAAATAATCAGGGTAAATCTACTGAGATATTTATTGAGATATGTAAGTTCCCTCGCACGAAACTCGATAAATTTGAATTAATCGTTGCAGAAACGGAAGAGTATGAGAATTATCGTCTCATCGGCGACAGTTGACGCGGAGGAACTTCGAGACTTCTTTAATATAAATACGACCAAAGACTCGAGCAAAGATAGCGCTATTATAATGAGCGTCGAGGGGCGATTATATCCGGTAGATGTTTTCTTTTTGAAAGGTATACATAGAACACAATTCGCGACTCATTCATCGTCATGACTCTTCTATTATTTAATTAAGGTTATATCGTGTTACAGAGCCAGTGGCAAATTACGTTAACGGCGTAGTAGACACCGTTCTAAAAATACATGAAATGGAAGAATCGGGCGACATCCTGACGTTTCTCACGGGACTCGATGAAGTCGATCAAGCCGTCTCTCTCTTGTCGGAACATGCGAAGCTCATAAAAGACGGTAAACGTAAGTGGATGATTGAGCAATTAGCGAACCTGTAATCTTTTTTAGCAATACTTTAAATTAATTCTTTATGCTATTTTGATATTTCCCATTATTTATTGTGAAGGTGACAATGTAATGAGAGATCCGAAAACTTGTATAGTTACTCGACACCTTGTTAGAGAAAAAAGAAAATTTTAATATATTGATGATTTTTTTATAAAATTAACAGTCTATTTTCTCTTTTCTCTGAAACGAATAATATATATTATTTATCAGAGAAACTGATTCCATTGCCGATGTACGGATCGCTTCCAAATGCCGAACAGCTGAAGGTGTTCTGGAGAGTCGCCAAAGACACTCGCAAAGTTATCGTAGCGACTAACATTGCGGAAACGTCTATCACCATTCCAAATATCGTTTATGGTAGCTATGCACTCTTTTTTTCTTTAGATAGTAACTCGACGCTTTTGACTCGATGACATAACGTAACTGTGAATTTGTAATGCGCAGTAATCGATTGCGGTTTCGTCAAGATACCCTGGTTTGAAGCGGAAACACAGACGAATAGTCTTGTTATCGTACCCGTATCGAAAGCTTCCGCCGACCAACGAGCCGGCCGCGCAGGTCGCATTCGCACAGGAAAAGCATTTAGGTAAAGTAAGGAGACAAGCAAATACTTGCATGCGTTTCATACATTTTCATAAGTAATTAAGATATATAATATTATTTTATCATGATTAAACTTGTGATTATAGAAGCTATAATAAAATATTTTACGATCTTATAATAGATTATATACGGAAGAAGCTTATGCTGGATTGTTCGAGGCTACTCCACCGGAAATGCAACGATCGGATTTAGCGCCGGCAATTCTGCAATTGAAAGCACTGGGCATCGACAACGTGTTGCGATTCAATTTTCCATCTGCGCCGCCAAGCAAGAATTTAGTCACGGGATTAGAGTTGCTTTACGCATTAGGTGCAATCGACAATAACGGCGATTTAACGACACCGTTAGGCTTGACGATGGCGGAGATGCCTTTGGAACCAGTGTTGGCAAAATCCTTAATCGTCTCTGGTAAAAGCAGTTATATTAACAATTATATTAAGTTTCTAGAGTAATGCATAAAAATATAATGTAGGTAATAATGAAAAAAATTTATTTTAAATATCAAATCGAGTAAAATCAGAATTCTTTTCTCAATCTCTAAAATATATAGCTATAGGATGAAATTATAATTAAGGCAATAAATTTTTTGTTTATGGGGGTGATAGGTGAAATGGGATGTTCTGTTGAGATCACAACGATATTAGCCATGCTGCAAGTACAAAATATTTTTATACAACCCGGTGGAGGACAAGCGGCTCTAAAAGCGAGAATAGCGCATCGCAAGTTTGAGGTGGAAGAGGGAGATCTTCTTACTTTTCTAAATGTCTATACAGCTTTTGAACAGAATAAAACGCCTGCCTGGTGCCAGAAATATTTTCTCAATCACAAAGCTTTGCGGAGAGCCACAGAAATTCGCATGCAGATGCATAAGATGTTGAAACGTTTGGACATTTCGCTAACTTCTTGCAATGGTAGAATTTAAATTTAATTAGAGATATGTAATCTCTATTAAATTCTGATCGAAAATATAACTATTGTCGATCTTTTAGGAAATGTTCAACAAATTCTCAAGTGTCTGACAGCTGGTCTTTTTCCTAAAGCGGCATATTTACACTATACAGGTGTGTACAGAACAGTTCGAGGTAACAAGGATTTATATATTCATCCAAATAGCTGCTTGTATACTCTGCAACAACCGCAATGGTAAATACTAGAAAAATTCTTTGTATTTATTAGAATTTTTTGTATTTGACTTTCTTATTTTTGTATTCTATGATCTTATTCTAGGTTATTGTTTTGCGAAATTTTGCAAACAAATAAAACTTATATGAAGGATTTGACTGTTATTCAACCAGAAATGTTATTGGAAGCAGCTCCACATTTTTATGAAAGTACCTCTATTGAATCTGTTTAGAATATCACGAGCGAGTAAGCAAAAATGTACATAAGCAAAAGTATCATGTAACATAATATGTAAAAAATTGTCTATTTATAATGGATGTAAAAACACAAAATGTGATATATTTCAAGTTCACAGTTGCATTTCAGTGTAAAGTATATGAAATTGTATTCATGACCTTTTATATTTCATAATTATTTAATGTAAAAGAATAAAAAACTATGAGTCTTTTGTATCTCAGTTAATAATAAATAATTTTAAATCTTACGTATATATATATATGTTAGATTTTGTATTTTGCAAGTCTGCCCAACTCATTGGTCAATGTATGTCTGTCGATCACATTTTAGTCAACTTTAAAACAGGTTGGACAAGCTTGCTGTATTTAATAAAAATATATAGATTTTATGACCATCAAGAGCGAAACTGAAAATAATTAAAGAATTTCTGTATCTGTAACATCGCAATACCAAATCGTGATTGTCCAATTATAGTTGTATGAGGTTGCCAGTAGGTGCGTTGCAATTTACGCGCAGCTGTTAGCTGTTAGGTTTCTAGTTGTAGCCAATGGTTGTTTCATCCTACTTTTCCTAAATAGAGGTTAAGTCTTACTGAAAGTTGCAAGCATTTACAAGTGTTTACAGTTGGATAGCATTTGGAACTATTTTATCATATTTTATACAATATATTCGTTGAGCAACTATGGCGTATGTACTTTCTACAATTTTTATAATATTAAATTAGAAAGATCGAATGTATCCAGAACATACATTAATCTTGATGAAACCATATGTTCTGTCAATTTGACATTTCCTATTGAACACC